ACAACAGGCACACACCACCATATCCGGCTAATTTTTTTGTGAAGATGAGGTTTTGCTATGTTGCTCAGGCTGGTCCCAAACTCCTGGGCTCAGGTGATTCTCCTGCCTTGGTCTCCCAATGTGCTGGGATTACAGGTGTGAGCCATTGCACCTAACCTTTACATGTGTCTTAAATACAGATCATCTCACTCCCAGGCTCATGAATGTTCAGTGGCTGTTCTCAGCTTACAGGAATATGATAAACACCTCAGCCTGGTATACACATGGCCCCCTGGTTGAGCCCAGGCTCTGCCCACCCCCACTTATCTCCCACCATATCCTTCATGTAGGACCCCCAAGAAATCTCCTAGCAAGCCTAAGACCCACTTGCTTCCCTTCCCTGATGTTATTCCCCCATCTTGAAATCCTATTCATCCTCAGAAGCCAGGTCAATGTAAGGGGAAAAAATTGCATATAGAGTGACAATAAATCTTACAATTACAGGTTGAGTAATAGTAATTATAGGTGAAGTAATAGTAAAAATCTGAAATGCTATAAAGTCTAAAAAATTTTGAGCACTGACATGACACCACAAGTGAAAAATCCACACCTGACCCCCTTCGCTAGTTGCAGTCAAAACACAGACACACAGCACACAATGTTCATCCCCAAGGGTAAAATAAAATTACCCTCAGCCTATGTGCATAAAGTGTATTAAATGAATTTCATGTATAGACGGGTCCTATCCCCAAGACATCTCATTATGTGTATGAAAATATTCCTAAGTCTGAAAAAAAACTGAAATCTGAAACACTTCTGGTCTCAAGCATTGTAGATAAGGGATTATCAACCTGTATTTTAAAAATAATTCCAAATATCATTAAGTTCCATAATACTCAAGTAAGGCTGGAGGAAAGATTAATTGAAAAGGTCTCAGCCTTTAGTAAACAAGTGATTTGTATGTTTTCAATAGTAGATTCTAATTCAGTTTCAAATTAAGAGAGACTATTTAATATCACCACTACTGGTTTGTTTTTTCTCAGTGACTCTAAATCTACCAGAAGGCCTTTGCCTTTTCTCAAAGTGTAACAAATTCTACTTTATATATAATCTCTTCATGTTTAATTATAAGGATTTGAATTTACAGCACCAATTAATCAGTAATTAGATAGTACTATACCAAAAGAAATTAAACAAAGATAAAAACAAAAACACAAAGCCATTTCATCTGGTAGTGTTTCATTTACCATGATTAAAATAATCTCTGGGAAATATAGGTTAACGGAGTGATTAGTGATATACTCTTTTGACTTTTGTTGTTGTTGTCCATGACTTCCAGTACCAATGGGAAATTTAAAGGTAATCCAAATACAAAAACACTCCGACTTTACTAATATTTATTCCTGTTTTCATTCTTCACTGGAAATTTCTTTGTGATGCTCAATAATTACTTTGAAATGTAGTGGTAGATTTTGGCAATGCAAAATAAATGCATATTTTATAATTGTGCATTCTCTATTGATTGTCAAATTTTAAAAAACATATAAACCAGGATCTGAATTAATTATCAATTAGACTTCTAAAACAAAATGTTCACCTTAGGCATGTAAAATAAAGATGCTGGCTGAGTGCGGGCACTCATACCTGTAATCCCAGCACTTTTGAAGGCCAAGGCTGGAGGACTGCTTGAGCATTGGAGTTCAAGACTAGTCTGGACAACATAGACCTTGTCTCTACAAAAAAAAAAAAAAAAAAAGCCAGTTGTAGTGGTGCACATTTTTAATCCCAACTACTCGGAAGGCTGAGGCGGAAGGATCACCTGAGCCCAGGAGGTTGAAGCCGTGGTGAACGGTGATCATGCCACTGCTCTCTAGCCTGGGCAACAGAGTGAGACCTCGACTCAAAACAAAACAAAACAAAAAAAGATACAAAACAGATTGAGGGAGGAACAGAAAGTTCTCTAAAACCAAGACATAGAGGGGGAAAAAAGTATATAACATTATGTCATTTTAGGAACCAAGGAAGGGGGTGAGCAGACCTTCTCCCTACAAAGTCCTGTCAGTCCCCTGGAACAGGTGCATAGGCCTCTTCTCCTGGTTCTTCAACCTTTTGTTAGTAAGAGAAAAAGAGAAGATGGCATCTGGAGGGAGAAGTCAGCAGCCCCTGTAATCGGATCTTGGAGACCATGAGAGCAGGGGCTGGCTCGGGTATGCCCCACTCTGGGTGACCCTGGCAGCTGGGCTCTGGAGAGAACAGGCAATAGGAGGAGTATCTCCTTCAAGACCCCCAACTTATCCCCTCCCCTGTGACCACCACTACCCAGGGAGATTGAGCCCATAAAACATTCAAAGTTACCCGAAAGCACTTTGCCTTCTTTCCCTGGTGCTGCTGTTTTAAGAAGCTGCATTTCTGTAAGAAACTGGCATCACCTTTACTCCCAAGTGCAGGGATCTTGTAAATTGTGAATACTGTAAAATCTTTAAATTGCTTGCCAAATGAATGAGCTGGGGTTTTTTTCCCCCCTAAGTGTATGAAATTGTCTTGAAAACTTCTGTGGAATGAATTTCATTGTGCACTCTCAAGCTTGCTTCTTAGAAGTATTTTAATTGTTGATCTCTGAAACAAGTACTTTGTCTTTTGATGGCACAATTTGCTGAGAAAGTGCATTAGGTGCATTGAAACGAATTGTAGAAGAAAATCTCAAGTATTTCCATGTTTTGGTACCTTGGATCAAAAGAGTAAGCTTTGCTTAATAATTTAGTATCGTGGTGGACATCAGAGAGCCAATGTAGTAATTTTTTGTAATTTCACAATGAAATTAATCAAGCAGTGCCCCCGAATTAGAACCATTTGATTTTTCCTCAATTTCTTTTCCCACTGTGTTGTGAAGAAATACTATGAAGTTTCTAAGAGTTCATTGCTTTTACAAATTATACAGCACACCTGTGAATGAAAGCCACATTTGTCAAAGTGACAATTCATTTGTGGATATGGCTTATTAATCCTCTGTTGTGCTTCTTCAACTGTTCTCTAATTTGAAAATGTTCATCTCTCAGGAGGTGGTACAATTTATTTGATATCAATGTACTACGTAAATTTTTGCCTCCGATTTTAACTGAAGTCAGCTTCAGCAAGCCGACTCCAGTCTCCACAATCATTATCTGATGAGCCTTTATCCAAGGTTGACTGGCCAAAATGAATGACCCAGAGCAACCCTTCCATCTCAATGAATGATTACTAGCAGCACTTCCCTTGAACAACATGATACCTATTCCTATGACCTATTCTTCCTACAGCAGGGTGTGTAGCTAAAAAAAAGAAAAGCATAGCACTTGCCTATCGTTCCAACTACTTGGAAGGCTGCAGCAGAAGGATCACCAGAGCCCAGCAGGTCGACCCTGGGGTGGCCATGAGCGTGCATGCCACTGCACTCCAGCCCTGGAGTTGAAACAGCCCTCATTTCATTGCATTCTCCTCCAGTCTCTCCCCTCTGAGTACTGATTCTAGCTAGTGCTCAGCCAAAACCTGGGGGCCATCTGGATCACTCCCTTTTTGCATCTCTCACACCCAGTGCATCTGCCAGTCCTGCTGGGTCACCTGCCACTGGCCCCATCCTAATCCAAGCAACCATTTCCTCTCTTCTGGTCTCCTAGCAGTCATCTCCTAACTAGCCGCCCTGCTTCTATTCTGCCTTCCCTAAAATCCATCCTCTGTACGGCAGCTCAGATCATTATTTTATAAACATTAATTCTATTCCTTCACTAGGCTTTGCTTAAAGCCTTCCAGAGATTTCTCACTCCACTTAGAATAAAATCAGGCCGGGCTCGGTGGCTCAGCCTGTAATCCCGCGCCTTTGGGAGGCTGAGGTGAGTAGATTGCTTGAGCCCGGGGTTTGAGGCCCACCTGGGCAGCGAGACCTCATCTCTACAATAAATCAAAAAATCAGCCGGGCGTGGTAGCGCGCACCTGTGGTTCCGGCTACTCGGAAGGCTGAGGTGGAAGGATTGCTGGAGCCCAGCAGGTCGAGGCTGCAGTGGCCGGGAGCGGCCACTGCACTCTAGTCTGGGCGACAGTGAGACTCCAACTCAAAAAAAAAAGAATAAAATCAGAACCCCTTCCATGACCACAGGACCCCAGGTGACTAGCTCTGCTCCACTCTTTCCATCTCACATTGTTGGGTCCTCCTTCAAACGTCCACGCACCTTCCTGCTGCCTCTCCTCTCCGCGGCTGCTGCTTCTGCTTGGGGTGCTCTTCCTGCCACCTAAAGGGCAGTCCCCCTCCCCTGTCACTGTCATGTCAACCTGTTTATGCATTCCATAGCACTTGGCGCTATCAGAAATGATTATGTTCCTTTTTGGCCTAGTTACTTGTTTACTGATCATTGTTTCCTCCCACCGGCTTCTAAGCTCCATGAAGGCAAGAACTTTGTTGCTCACCACATACCACTTATGCCTAGAATGGAGCCTAGTCCATTAGCACACTCTCAATTAATAGTTGTTAGTGCCAGGCACATTGGCTCAGGCCTGCAGTCCCAACACTTTAGGAGGCCAAGGCAGAGGGATTGCTTGAGTTCGGGAGTTCAAGACCAGCCTAGGTAACATGGTGAGACCTCGTTTCTACAAAAAAATCAAAAAATTAGCTGGGTGTGGTGGCATGGCTACTTAGTCCCAGCTACTTAGGAGGTTGAGGCAGAACGATCACTTGAGCCCAGGAAGTTGAGGCTGAGGTGACCTATGATTGTGCTACTACTGTACTCCATCCAGCCTGGGTGACAGAGTGAGACTTCAACTCCAAAAAAAAAAATTGTTAGGGGAATTAAGGATAAACATATCCTTGTTTTCCTGATACTGTATGACTTTGACTGACTCCCTTAGCCTCTTGGACTGCAACGTCCTCGCCTGTAAAATAAAGCTAGCAGAGCACTGCATGACCATGGGAGTAGGTTAAAGAAGTAAACCGGGATGGCAGCATATGGCACCTTGCTTACCCAATAGCAGATGCAGAGTGAACACAGCTACCAATGACTTTCTTGTTTTACAGGAAATCGTCAGAGGAACTGGACATGGACAAGGTGACAGCAGCAATGGTACTCACCAGCTTGTCAACCAGCCCTTTGGTCCGGAGCCCTCCTGTGAGGCCAAATGGTAAGCCTGGGATATGGGACTGAGGGATGAGCTCTTTGACCACAAGCAGGGCCACTCTTACCGGAGTCTCACTTCCGTCCAACACCATGAACAATTAGCCCTCACCCATTAGCAGGAAGCAAGGGGATGAAATGGAGGCCCCAGAGTGGTCAGCCTCCTCCTCATCTTCCCAGAGAGCCTGCTGCCTCTCCATCATGTGTCTGTTCATCCACCTCACATTTACTGAGCTCAGTTACTTGGTTTTTGCCTTTCCAGAACGTGTCTTTGCAGTACTTGTGATCCTTTTGTCTCGGGTAAATGCAGATTCATCCAATGAAAATTAATGTAGATTAATCTAATGAAGTTATTTACCATAACATTATTTCTGCTTGGTTGGAGAGGTAGTTGGATCAAAGACCTCTCAGAAGATTAAATATTTTCTAAAAGCAGACACCTAAATCAAATAGAATTATTTGGTCTATTCTGTTAATCAAATAGAATGATTTGGTCTATATATTTATCAGACACCATACTAGATGGTTTGAATACATGATTGAAAAACAGCATCCACCCTTCCTGTAGTGCACAGTCTCTTTGGGGGGGGAGACTAATCAATCATAGACATATTCATGACTAGCCTTTACTGAACACATACTATGTGTGCTTTATCTCACATAATTCTCACAACAACTATATAAAATGTTGTTACCACTATTTTAAAGGTGAGTAAACTGAGGCTCACAGGGATTCATTGGCTTATAAATGCCAGAACTGAAATTCTACTCTCTATTTTTCTGATTCTAAATCTGTTCTCTGATCATCCAATTCTCTAAATCGGGAGGACAGACAGTAGTAGCTGAAACTGGAGAGGCTGGCAGGAGCTCTGTGAGGAAGGGGTCATGTCTGTCTGGAGAGGAGTTTGGTCTTTATTATAGTGATTCTGGCACTGGAAAATTTGATTAGGTTTACCAGCTCCAAAAAGACAAAACTGTGGTGGTCACAGGGGAGGTGAATAGGACACGACTGAGAAATGTGAAGAAGGTAGGATTAACAGGACTTGGTGGTAGACAGAGAGCATGAAGGAGAAAGTGTGTCAAGGGCGACTTCCAGGAAGTCGGTGGGCTTCAGCAAGGGGAATCTGTTGCCTGAGATGGGGAACAGAGGCCCAGACATAGATCTGTTGGTGAATGTTTGGGGCAAGAGATGGGGTGGCTGAAGGAGACAGTAGGGTCCTCTGGAAGCATGTTTAGCACACAGTGACTGAGGATCGCTCACAGGGCAACGTCTGGTGGGGATTTAGGCACAGCCTGGGAGGTCTGGGCTGATGATACAGAATTAGAAGGCAACATTTTGAAGCTATGAGAGTAAATGAGATAACCCTGAGAGAATTTTGTAGAAGCCAAGTACAAGGAGAAGATGGCCAAGGGGAAGTGGTGAAGCTCACTATCATGTGAGAAACTGGCAGAGGAAAAAGAGCCCAGGAAAAGCCTAGGGTGGCCAGAGAGGTAAAGGGAAACCAGGAATGTGTGGTTTCAAGGAAGCCAAGGGAAGAGGAGGTTTCAGGGAGAGGTATCCTAGGCTTCATAAAGTTATGTGTGAAAAGGACTGAATTTTGTATTAAGAAGGTCACTGATGGCTTTGGCAAGAGCTTTCACAGAGGAATGCAAGCATGAGGTGTTAAAATAAATGTGTTGAACATCCACTGAGTCCTCACCAAAACTTTCTCCAAACTCATTAAAAGTGGAAATAATGATCAAAATGCTGGAAAACAGTTCAATGTCATGAATCTGTGGTACCCAGCAAATGATACACCTCAGCCTTGACCTGCTGGGCTCAGGTGATCCTTCCACCTCAGCCTTCCAAGTAGCTGGAACCACAGGCACATGCCACCATGCCCAGCTAATTTTTTTATTTATTGTAGAAATAATGCCTCACCAAGTTGCCTGGGCTGGTCTCGACCCCTGGGCTCAGCAATCCTCTCGCCTCCACCTTCCAAGGTGCTTGGATTACAGGCATGTGCCACTGTGCCCAGCTTAAGGTTAGAATTAAAGTTAACCTTTTGATTCTTCAGTGTAAACTGTTATTAGCACAATAGTATTTCTGTGTTCATTTATGGTTTAAAAAATAACCACTAATAACCCCTAATTGTCTGCTATCTCTCGTTCAGTCTGTAACAGGAAGCAAATTCTTAAATAGGGAAAGCAATTTAGGAATAAAGGATTTTCTCTAGAATTACTGTATATCAGTGTATCTTTGGAAACTGTTATGGTCCTTGTCTGTGCCTGAAAAAGGTCATTCTATCAGGAAGTAAGCTTGCAAAGAGGTTAAGAGACCAGCAGTGCCTGTCCACATTCTTGGCAAATGTTTGTTTAACGTAAGGAGGCTCTGTCCCCAAGAATATTATGAGTCAGCTCAGACTTTTTTCTGAAAAATTCATTTCCATTCACTTGATCCTTCTGATTAAATAGTGTTTCTAAAGGAATGTCATTTACAAGTCAGTAAACAAATTAACTTTGGGCATTGACATGAAGCCATGTAACCACACAGTACTAGTAGTAAGTTCTCAAAATGACTTTAGTTCCTCCCATGTAACATGATTACACATCCAGCACCATGAATTTAATTTTATTTTTCAAGTGCATGCTGTAGTGTATTTATAAGCCACCTGGACCTGCCAAGTGAGTTTTTCACACCTGGTAATGTCACCTAAGTCCTTGCATAAGGCTCCTCTTAATGTCCTGTAGTACGAATGGAACGTTCTTGTTTATCATAGGCGACTCTGGTCCAGTGAGTGCATCAGTCTCTGTGTAGGCTGCAGGGAGTGAGACCTTCATTTGGTTTTGTTGATGATGGCCAGGGTGCAAGCCTGCATAAATGACCATTTGATTCTAAAAGAACCTTACTGTAATAAGATGAGTAATTTACTTCTTCCATTTCAACTTAAAACTTTACTCCTGTAACTTAACTTCTTACTTGACATGGTCGAGGAATATGCTGGGAATCTCTAATTAGGTGAAAATAGGTAACATTTCTCCATGAATGCTAGCCTACCATTTGTCCTCACTTCATTACTAATTATATAGACCTCAACAGTATTTTTTTAATGAGGCATTTGGGGATTTTTTTTTCCTTCTTGTAGTTAAAATATAGTTTTAATATATTCAAAATGCACATAAATATGGAGGAGAAGTTTTCCAAAAAGGAAGTAGAAATTATACAAATGCTAATTAAGATTATGCATCTTGAAAGGTAGAGCAAGCCTTCGGTGATTAAAAGAGCACTCAGAAGACACTGTAACTGGGCGATAATCTCTCCATGTTAGCAAATATTTCATAATGTTTCCCACCACATGTGGAAAGGTAAAATTCAGCACCAATCTCATCAGTAATTACGGCCAATAAATTCTTATCCCAGCCTTGCCAGAGAGAGGAGGATGTTCACAGCACAGGGCCTGCATGCACTGAGAAGAGGGCCAACATGCAGGCCGGCGCTTGGGCACCAGGCCCATCAAGGATACTTAAATGGCAAGCAACGTAACTTTCTGCGGCCTTAGGGTCCTCATCTGTAAAATGGGGGTAATAATCCTTACTTTAAGAGATGGATGTTGCGAGAATGCTTGAGATTGTGCCATGAGCTTTGTAAGATGTAAAACAAAAAATATAGGGCACCGTTATTTATTAAAACAAGCAGAATGGGAAAATGACTTCAGATAACTATCCAGAAATTATTTCTCTTAGAATCTTAAACCTTAGACCCACTTCCTAGAGATGTATTTTTAAGAATCACAGTCCTGTAAGAAATCCTCTCTTTAAAAAAAAAAAAAAAAAGTTGAAATTGAAGGGGGGCGGGGGTGAGACGGAACCCTGTGACCAATTTGGGAGAATGCTCTTCCTCTCTTAGCAAGCCTGCCGTCGGTAAACCCAGCGCTCCGCACACGTAGTAAACAAGAAAATCTATTTTTTCCTTTGCCTCATATATCCTCAGCAAGGAACTCGTGTGGCGCAATTCAAAACCCCTCAGAAAGCCCTTAGCAAAGCCTGCTGTCATGCGGTTGCAGTAACTAAGCGTTTACAGAGTACGTGACTTTGGGGAGGAGGAGGCAGAGGCAGAGGCAGAGGCAGAGCGAAAGCTGGCCCAGCGGCTTGCAGAGGACGGAGCGGGCCGCGAGGGGCCGGCCCGGCCCCCCACCCCGGCCGGGCGCTCACGCCTGTCTGTGTTGCAGAGGGCCTGAGCGGCTCCTGGAAGGAGGGCGGCGGCGTGCCTTCCAGCAGCAGCAGCAGCGGCTACTGGAGCTGGAGCGCCCCCAGCGACCAGTCCAACCCGTCCACGCCGTCGCCGCCGCTCTCGGCCGACAGCTTCAAGCCCTACCGCAGCCCCGCGCCGCCGGACGACGGCATCGACGAGTCGGAGGTCAGCAACCTGCTCTTCGACGAGCCCATCCCCAGGAAAAGAAAGGTAGGCGTGTGGCCCCCGCCCCCCCCTTCCCGGTGGCTTTCTGTCCCCTTCGAGGGTCGCGTGTGAGTTCCTCCAGCCCACCCGCCCTTTCTGGAAACAGGAGCCCCTGGCTCTCCCCCCGCAGCGCTCTCCGAGGCTTCCAAGTAAACTGTCGTGATGAAAGGCCATTACAAATGACTCGAGTATGGAGATGCTTTCCCGAAGTACGCACAGGCACCGTCATCCTCCGGTTACAAATTGCTAGCCTAGGACTCAGCCAGTAACTGGAAGTTGGGAAATGGGGCTTCAGGCTTGGTTGGGTTTGAACTCACGTTCTTTCTGGGACTGACCTTGTGTAGATGTAAAATGTGATGAATATCCTTTTCTCTTGTCTGTTGCAATCTGCCTTGGAGGATTCTTGGGAAGAATATTTTATATCTCACTTTTATATACCCTGGTGTGAAATATATGTGAAAGCTGACATACAAGCATATGCCCATGCTTACATACCAAAAATAATATATTTACTCAATTAAAAGTGAAAAAGGACATCTAATTAATTGATTTAACCAAGTCATTGATCACTTTTAATATTTTTATTTAGTAAAAATCCATACTTTTATTTAATCAGGGAGGGTACACATTTCACTGGCCCCTGTCGGCAGGTTAGAAAGAAACAGAGCCACCATTCAAACCCAGAATTCCCTGAGCCTCAAGCTCATATTCTTTTCATTCTCTTTAGGTACATTTAAACTATCACGTTCACTCGCAGTTTTTCAAAAACATTTCATAGCATAAAGCACTACTACTTGCCAAATCTAGAAATTGTTTTGGCATTATTAATATTTTTTTTCGAGTTGGAGTCTCATTCTTTTCACCCAGGCTGGAGTGCAGTGGCACGCTCACAGCCACCGCAGCCTTGACCTGCTGGGCTTAGGCGATGTTTCTGCCTCAGCCTTCCAAGTAGCTGGAATTATAGACACACGCCGCCACACCCGGCTAGTTTTTGTGATTTATTGTAGAGATGAGGTCTCACCCAGTTACCCAGGCTGGTCTCAAACTCCCGGGCTCAGGCAGTCCTCTCGCCTCGGTCCTCCAAAGTGCTGGGATTACAGACTGAGCCGCCGCGCCTGGCCTGGCATTATTTTTTAAATTACCATGTAAACGTGAGACTGTCATTTCACATACTGGCTTTTAAATGTTGCATCGGTCGCATCATTCTTAGTGACCATTCACAAACAAAAATCCAGTAAAAGCTCTGAGGACTGCAGTGCCGCCATTTTTTTCTCCCCCAATTCATTTCAAAGAGGAAAGCCAAGAGATGGGCCTGATCCAACAGCACCTTCCCTCCTTGCGTCCCCAGCATCACTCGGCAGCGCGTTTAACAGTGAGGTGGTACAGGCATTCTCTCTGGATGTGCCTGTGTGAATAAAGGCCAGCGTTTTTTGTTTTTGTTTTGCCCAGAGAAGGGGACATTAATATAGTCCCCTGTCCTTCCCAGAGGCAGTGACCTGAAGAGTTACTCTTTCACACTGGTCCATCGTGCAGGGGGCAGGAGTTGTTCTAGCGTCCCATAGGTCGGCCCCAGGGACACCAAGTCTTCACTTGACTGGCACCTGCAACAGTGCCTGCAGGCCAGATAGCAGCAGGGACCTGAAGTCTTGTCCTGTTGCTTCAAACTGCACACTTTCTCTCTGGGGTTGTCTCAATGTACAGTCCTGACTCTCATCAAGCGTGGCCCAGGGTGGTGGCAAGGACTCTCAGGACAGGGAACCCTGATGTTATTTAAGGTGCGTTGCTGAAAGCTTGTCAAAGCCTTACATTTCTAATGTAGCCACTAAGCCAAAATTCACACTCTTCCTTTAAAATTAGGTTGCATTAGCCAGGCACATATTGAAGGTCTACAGGCTTTAACTAAATTAGAGGAAAGTCCAGTCACCAAAGGAAAAAGAAGAAAAAGTTTTCATCACAAAGTGGCGTTTATTTGCAGGCCATTGGCCTACTCCACAAGAAGCGGGGTAGTAGGAATGAATGAATGAATAAGAGCCATGTTGATCCTCTTTCTTTATGATGTCTCCTTCTGCTCAGACTCTGGATTTCCCCGAATGGCACCGATAGAGTGAAGCTCATAGCCACTGATTTTCACTGTGTGGATTTTACACAGATCAGTTCTTGCCTTGGCCTTTTGAACCTAAAGTTACTTCATTTATGAGCTTAAATAGGAGCTTGTGTTATGTTATTGTCTGTGGAGCTGTATGTTCTTTGACCTGTTTTATATATTTTATTTTAATTTCAATAGATTTGGGGGGTACAAAGTTTTTGGTTACATGGATGCATTTGGATACTGGCAAAGAAGTCTGAACTTTAAATGCACCCACCCACCCCCACCTGCGCACCTTGTACCTGAGAGGTGATTTTTCGTCCCTCCACCCCATCCTCCTGCCCCTTCAGAGTCTCCAGTGTCCTTTATAACATCCTCGATGCCTTTGCAGATTCTTAGTTTAGCTCCCACTTATAAGTGAGAACATGCGGGGTTTGGTTTTCTGTTCCTGAGTTAGTTGACTTAGGATGATGGTCTCCAGTTCTATCCAAGTTGCTGCATGACTTCATTCTTTTTGCTAGCTGAATAGTATTTTATAGTGTGTATATACCACATTTTCATTATCCACTGATCAGCTGATGGGCATTTAGGTTGATTCCACATCTTTGCACTTGTGAATTGTGCTGTGATGAAAGTTACTTTGAATAGTGAAAATAGCAAAGTGAGACTGTTGCTATTCACTTTTTATTTGTTAAGTGACCCAATATTTCTTGAGTACCCATGAGCAAAAAATGCTTATTGCCCTGAGAATAAAGCATAGTTCCTTCCTTCAAGGTATTGAAAGTTGGGTGGCTAGAGATTGATGTCTAAGGAAGCAATAATATGAGTGATAAATGTTCATGGTGTGATAGAACACAGTAACTGTAATACTCTGTTATTTTAGATGGTTTTTAAAAATCTTGTTCCAAAAGATTACTAAGAGTTAAGTTAATTTGCTTAAACCTGACAATACTTTCTAGTTGGTGGAACTTTCTGAATTCATCTTATTTTCTTCTGCATTGCATTAGATTCATAAAATCCATTTGAAACACATGGGCAGTTGTGATGGTCACATATTCTGTGGGGATTATTTGAGAATCTTCTACGTCAGTTTTTTCCCAAACCGCGAGTCTCAATTCACTAGTGGGTTGTGAATCAATTTAATGAGTCGTGAACAGCACTCTTTAATTAACAGGACAGAATAGAGGGTACTGTACATAATCAGGGTAAGTACTGTTTCTTGACTTTTTTTTTTAGTCATGTACTTTCGTGTGAGCGTGTGTACTGTTTCTTACTGTGGCTCGTTGTCAAAAAGTTTGGAGGCTTCTGTTCTAGGCTAGAAAGAGATTATATGATGTGGTAAATTTAAATGCCCTGATTGGAAATCAAAAAGAGCCAAATTCTTAACTCTCCCTTGAGGCCCTTAGAGAGTTATTTCACCTCTCTGATCATCAGTGTCTTCATCTGTGAAGCAGACAGACAGGTATTACCACACCTCTTTCAGGACATTCATGAAGACCAACTGATCATAAATGCAAGAAGTGTAATAGACATCTGAGGCCCCCTAAACAAAGGGGGAGGGGATATGGCCTATATCTGGTTAGGAAGCAACAGTCCTGACCTTCCTCATTGTTATGGAAGCTGTCTGCTCCCACTCTCGAGGAGATCCATTGTTCCACTTGTAGAGGAGATGAAAGTGTGAGGTGTACTGGTAGACAAGGCCTTATTGCTAATCATCGGTAGTGAGGAAGAAATGTATATTTGCATATTTACAGTTTACCAAATGGTTTTAAGTGCAGCATTTCATTTATTCATCCTCAAAATCTTTGGCATATTCTTACCCCCATTTTGCAGAAGAGGCTCATTGAGGTTTATGTAAATTGTCCAAGATTGTGTAGTTGACAATGTAGCAGAGATAAAATCAGCAAAGAGGAGACTGTTGAGGCAAGTTAAGAATCCACATTTCGCCAGGCTCAGTGGCTCAGCCTGTAATCCCACGCCTTTGGGAGGCTGAGGTGAGTGGATTGCCTGAGCCTGCGGGTTCGAGACCCACCTGGGCAGCGAGATCTCATCTCTACAATAAGTCAAAAAATCAGCCGAGCGTGGTAATGCATGCCTGTAATTCCGGCTACTTGGAAGGCTGAGGCGGAAGGATCGCTGGAGCCCAGCGGGTCGAGGCTGCGGTGGCCGGGAGCGGCCACTGCACTCCAGTCTGGGCGACTGAGTAAGACTCCAACTCAAAAAAAAAAAAAAAGAATCCACATTTCCTTCTGTCCACAGAGGAGAAAACATGGAGGAAAAAAGTCAGACGCAGCTACAGCCAACACTGCGTGGCAGGGTGGGAGCAGGGTGTAGAAGGTTCAGAAGGAAATTAAGAGCAGAGGTAAAACTCCAGGCTGTCTGCCAAGAGAGGTGTGACTCCCTACAGGAAGCATCCACCCCTCTTACGAGAACCTGCAGCCAGAATAGGAGGGAATGCGAGAATGAAAGCCTTCTCTCTCCTATCTCTGGAGGTCAGCCAGCCACTTTGTCAAGTCTGGTTCTAGCAGAATTTTTCTCTGGGATTTCGAGATAGACTCATAGAACTTGCAAGCTCAGAGAGAACCCTGGTTGTGTGAGCCAGGACTCGTAGACTTTGAGGAGGTGCAATTCCCATTATGACCACAAGGTGATGCAGTGACCCTAAATACGGCCACTCTGGGAGTCGGTGGGAGAAATAAATTCTCCCGGAATCAACCATCAATTCCACAAGACCTCTAGAAAACAAAGTGTTTTTATATTTTTATATGCTCTTTCTATGCCAGATTCCTGATTCCGTCAGATTCCAGATTCTGTGCATTCCAAAATTGGCGCATCAGCTCCTATATTTATGTGACCTAAACAAGTCACTTAGCCTCTCCCAACCTGTTTTCTCTTCTGTAAAATATGGTTGATGGTGGCA